ACTTTATTTGATATTAATATGCAACTCTTGCTTTCTTCTGATTAATGTTTCAAGATATATTTTTTCTCAGACTTTTACTTTCAATTCACCAATAGTGTCTTATGTGAAGTAAGTTTTGTAGAAAGCACAAAGTTTGGTCATATTTTTTAGTCTCTTTGCCAGTCTCTCTCTTAACACCTGTATTGAGTTAAATTCATTTAATGTAATTATTGATATCTTAGGGTTTAAGTCTTTCATTTTGTACTTTATTCTGTTTGTTCTGTTTTTTTCCACCATGTGAGGACACAGTGAGAAGATGGTTATGTATGAACTAGAAGTGGGTCCTCATCAGATATGAATCTGCTGGTGCCTTGATCTTGAACTACCCAGCATCCAGAACTGTGAGAAATAAATGTTTATTATTTAAGCCACCCAGTTTATGCTATTTTTGTTACTAAAATACTATATTATTTTAGCCCAAAGATGATACAGTATATGTGTATGTTTATGTATGTTTATGTATGTATATATGTGTTTATATATCTCCATCCATATCCCTTTACCTCCCTAATAAAATTGTCTTAAATGCTTTCCCTACATACATTTAGAAGCATATCAGACAGTGTCATAACTTTTACTTCAACTTTCAAGTCTAATTAAAAACTCAAGAACAAGAGAAAATTTATTCTATTTACCTGTACTTTTACTCTTTCCATTGTTCTTTCTTCCTGATAGTCCAAGATTACTTCTTTTATATTTTTCTTTTTGTTTACAGGATATCCTTTAGCCATTTATTTAGAACAGGCCTGCTGGTGACAAATTCTCTTGGTTTTCCTTCATCTAATAATATCTTGATTTCTTCTTCATTTTTATGGGATATAGAATTCTGGGTTGATTCTTCTTTTCTTTCAGGACCTGAAAAATGCTGTGTCACTTCCTTCTGGTCTCCGGGGCTTCTGATGAGAAATACGTTGTCATTTGAACTGTTTCATCCATATAAGTAATGTGTCATTTCTCTCATTGTTTTTAAGATTTTCCTTTGTCTTCAGTTTTCAGAAGTTTGACTATGATGTGTCTTGGTGTAGTTTTCTTTGGGTTTATCCTGTTTGGGTTCATTATGCTTCCCTGTAGGTTTATTTCTTTGGCCAAATTTGAAGAATTTGTTCTTCAAGTGCTTTTTCAGCTCTACCTACTTCCTCTTCTCCTGGGACTCCAAAAGAAGCTCTGTTCTTTTTAAGTCAACTTTCTCTCTGTTGTTCAGATTGGGTAATTTCTATTTTCCATCTTCAAGTTTATTGATTCTTTCTCTCTCCCCTCCATCCTGCTGCTGAATCCACCTACTGAGCTTTTTATTTTGATTCTTGTATTTTTCAGTTCTAAACTTTCCATTTTTTATATCTTCTATTGCTCTGCTGAGACTTTTTTTTACTGAAGCTTTCTATTTTTCTACTTGTTTTAAGCACGTTTATAATCATTCATTGAAACACTTTTATGATGGCTGCTTCAAAATCTTTATCAGATCATTCTAACACCTCTGCCATCTTGGTGTTGGCATCTACTGATTGTCTTTTTTCCCTCAATTTGAGATTTTCCTGGTTCTTGGTGTAACAGGTGATTTTTAAAAATTAAAACCTGGACATCTTGGGTATTATGTTATAGCACTTCAGATCTTATTTAAACCTTCTATTTTAGCTGGCTTTTCCTGACACTACTCCAGCAGGGGAAGCGGTGGTACCACCTGTTATTTCTCAGTGGAGGTAGAAGTTCAGAGTCCCCACTTGGCCTTCATTGACACCCAAGGGGACGAGGAGCTTCTTGGTACTGCTGAGTGGGGATGGGAGTTTCAGGTGCCCCCTCGGCCTCCACTGATACCAGCTTGGCTGGGAGGGACAGGAGTGCCTCATTACTGCTCCCAACTTGGCTCGCACTGACTCCACAGGGAGGGAAGGAGGCTCTTTATTACTAGATGGTGGTGAAAATACTGACTCTGACACTACTCCAGCAGGAAGAGGGAGGCTGCCTCATTACTGCCAGGTCAGGGTGGAAGTCTAGCCTTCCCACTACATGGTCTCTTGAATCCACATGGAGATTGGGGAAGTACTCACTACTGCCTTGGTACAATCAAAGTCCCAGCTCTCTACTGAGCCTTTTTTAACGCTACCCTGGCAAAGAGGTTTGGGCTTCCAGTTACAGCCTATAGAGGTGGAGGACTAGGCTTCCCACTTGATCTTTGCTGGCAGGGGTGGGAACACAGGTTTTTCTGTGCTGTTACTGGAGCCAGTGGTCATCGACTAAAAGTGTTCTGTCCTGTAGGATGTCCCATTCCAGGTCCTCTAGCTAGAGAGGGCTTTTTTTTGTCTCCACCTGTTGGTTTTTCTGGGTTACTGGCTTCTTCAGCTCTAAGTCTGGGATATACGAGGTAAAAGGAAAACTCAGGGAACTCGTCACCTGTCATTCCTTTGATCCCAAGCTCCCTAGCCAATCTGCCTTAATTATTCCTGCTCTCAAAGTCTTCCTACGTTTATTTTCTATATAAGCCCAGGATTTGTAAGTCTGTGCTTGATTTTTAATGTTCTTTTAAAATTTCACTATGTCTTAGATTTCCCATAAACTGCAACACTAAAATACACACATATACATAAAACAAGGTAGATCTGATTCTACAGAAATTTAACTTGCTATTCAACGTAAGACACTCTAAGATGAAGTTCTTCAGAATAAAGGACACCTGAAAATTCATTAAGCATGAAATATAATTTAGGCTAAAATATAAATGGTGTGTATCTAATCACTTAATATCTACCGAATTTGATAGCTGCAAACCAAATCCCATAGTTGTCGTAATAAGCCACACTTTTGTATAATTTTTCTACTAAACATTAGGCCAATGAAACATTGGCCTAGCATCAGTTAAAAGTTAAATTAGATTATGAAAAGTAAGCAAACCCCTGTACTGTCCTACACATCAGCCAGAATCTTGGGGGCTAGTATTTCACTAACCATCCAAATAATCAACTTGCTTCTGTCAAATTATCAAGTCAGTCTTGAGCAAAATTATTGGTACATTCTTTTCCGAGAATTTGAGTTTCACACATTACTCTGTATCAGGAATGCCTGTTATGCTTTCCTTTTCCCAACACAAGTCTCCCTTACTAATAGACATAATTTCAAAGGTAATTTATTGCAAAAGCTAAGTACAAAATCTTGAGCTCATAGTTGACATCCATTTTTTATAACAACGTTTAAACTCCTCTGTAACAACGAAAGAGGATGATGATGAAAATGGTAACAGTAATAATAATGCCCACTGATTAGTACTAGCTCAGGTACTTTACATCCATTATCCCAGTTAATTCTCATGACAGTCTGACAGGGTAGGTATGATTCATAATATTCATGTCCTTTACAGATATGGAAAATTGAGATGCAACATGGTAAACTCAAGTTCCCAAGGTCACATAACTACTAAGTGGTGGAAACAATGACTTTTCAGGTGAGCTCTTAACCACTAAACTTCCCTGATTCAAAAGAAAAGACTACACCTTCCAACCCTGTCTTTAATATGCATTTGCTGTAAACATGAACATAGAAAGGAGGATTGTCCCCTTCTTCTGGCTGGAAAAGAACACACAAGCTCTAGTTCTCTTATCTCAGATTTCCTAGGTAGGTTCTGAAAGAGTGTGTTCTGAGACCCAAGCCTTTCCCTTACTCCCATGTCTTTAGAAAAGTTATGTTTTCTTATCCTCACTGATTTTTCTAATTACAAAGCATATGCTGAGATATATATTTAAATGGAATTATATATTCAAACCACACAGAAATGTATAATGTGGTTAGAAAATAAATTCCTTACTTAACTTAAACTCAAGTGTTAATAGATACTTCCAGAATTTTTCTATATAGAGAGCTATATCTACGTATTCATAGAAACTAATGTACACATATAGTACAGAGCACAGGTTTGCATATATCCATATATTTTACAACAGTGAGACACTTCATATATTGTTCTGCAATGCCCTCTTTTGTTACTATTCACTGAACAGCAGAACTCCAATCAATTTGAGTATAAGAGATTCATCTGTTTTTGTTTATTTTACAGTTTAACTAGGCATTTTCTGTTTTAGTGATACATAAAACTATGGTGAATCTTAATAGAGTCAAAGTACAGCAATTTCAAAATTGACTATTGTTGGTTAAGAAATCATATTATCTTAGATTTGCTAGAATGGTTTCAATCATATATATTTTTTTCCTTTTCAGTAAAGGTTATTTATTAAATGTTTAACTATATAGAATTTAAGTTTTATAATTTTGAAAGACTTTACACATGTATATATTTTCAAACTTCAATCCACACACTTTGCACCATGTAAAAAAAACAAAAAATGGATCAAAAAAAAGAAATATAAATAAAAAAAGAAATATAGCAGAAAATTACTGCTTTATTACTTTGGGTTAGGTAAAGATTTCTTAGCTACTACACTAAAAGCACAATTCACAAACGAAAAAAATTAATAAATTAGACTCCATCAAAATTATGAACTTCTGGCCCTTCAAACGACACAATTAAGAGAGTAAAAACAAAACCCAGACTCGGAGAAAATGTCTGCAAATCACAAATATGATAAAGGAATTGTATCCAGAATAAATGAAGAACTCTTAAAGCTCAATAAAAAGAAAACTGAAACCCAATTAAGAAAGAAAGAGCAAGGATTTACCTATTAACGGCTAAATATATTCTTTACATATTATACTATAATTTATATATACACCCTAATTTAACTAACCCTTTAGGGAAATTAACAACCCTATGCTTCCTCAAGTTTTCCAGACTCAATGATTAGGATGCTATGCTAATTGTTTTTTTTGTTTTTAAACAAAGCTTGTTAAATTGTATAAGAGAATCAGTGTGTGATCAATCCTTTTAGATTTAATTTACATCTGTAACTGCTAGAGAGAGGGAAGGAAGGAGATGAAAGAAAGGGAGAAATTGAGGTAGAAATAATGGTATACTTTACTCTATAAAATAGACTTCTCCATTTTCGGTATAGGCCATCTCCCAGTTTTCAGGTAGAGGACCTAAATTATCCTCTGCAGAAAGAGGTAGGTATTGAGGGAACTTCTGAGAAGGGTCCGTGATGGGAGCAGCGATGATGCTACTATTCACTGGTGGTAGCGTTGTTTCTTGGAGAGTGTGCTCTTCTTGGTCACCAGAATCGGCTGTTTAATTATGAGGAGAGAGAGAGGGGAAAAAAAATCATCCATCATAGCCCAAACCAGGGAGTTCACAACTGTAAGCATCTATATTCTTAAAAGCCCTCGTCCTTTCCCAATTGCTGACCACTGACTATATTCTGTTTTATTTAGATGAAAGTTCTTTTAATAGAAAGCACCACAATGATGGACCAAATTTATTTTACCTAAAAAGAAAGAAGAGAAAAATATCCTTAAATAATGCATTGCTGACACTTTTGGGAATGTCAAAGAAGAAACAAATCCATAACTCAAATCCTAAAGTCTCTTAAACTAAGAAGCCATCAAAACACAGACTGAGTTGCACAAATCAGAGGTATCACTTGATTTCATGACTCAGAAAACTTGGGGGCAAGAAGAAAGTCCACACTGAAAACACAGATATAAGGGCGTTATTGTCCATTTTGCATAAGCTATTGAAAATATTTTTGGTAGACACTGGCAAAGATCAAAGACTGACAAATAAAGCTGGAAAGTATACAAAAATTTAGAATATGGTGACAGTTATACCAGTGAGTCAGATTTGAGCCTCTTTTGGAAACATGAGGTGAATGTTTCTGTGAAAACCAAGACAGTTCCCCCTAGAACAGTATTATGTAGGTGGACTGATTTGATTTGTGTCTTAAAAGAAGGCTCTAAGTACATAAGTCTCCTTGCCTTCTTATTAACTAGAAACAAGAGGTGATGTCATCGAAATATCCACAAACAGCATTGTTGACATTCTGGTTGAATTTTTATAGAAGCCAATGATATTAAATGTCAGTCTCCATGGGGCTTTAAAATGTAATAATCAGGGGATATAGTTATTTTCTATCTCCCAGAGTAATTCTCCTGTAGACATTTCTGATTTACTGAAAGCAGACTGAGGAATAATAACAGGTTGATTTCAAATCTTTTCTCTGATGAGTAGTTCCCAATGACACACATGAGAATGAAGGTAATCCAAAAGTTGGATGGAGGACATGTCACACCTATTAAACAAGCACCTCCACCAAAATTCCACCACCATTGAGGAGGTTGCCTGTGTTCTTTCCCTGACCCGTACCTATCCCGCCTTCTTCTGGTACCACTACTCAGATCTTCCTTTGGAAATCACCCCCTCCTACCAGGTCCATGTAGTCCAGGTAGGGATTGACTTAACCCCACTCCGAGCTCATGCGGTGGGCCCAAGTTGCATTCCTATCACTCTTGCCTTTGTGATTGGATCAGGCATATGATCCAAGGCAAACCAATGAATGTCAGGCATGGAAGTGTTTGCTGAAACCATCAAGCAAGAGGTGGCCTCTTGATACTGAAGTTATTAAGCTGACAGGTTCCCATGCTGTAGGGGCTGGTGACCATCTTGAGACAGCTTGGCAAGACCTGCCTGGGAATTAAGCCCACATAGACGGAAGCAAACATGAAAGATAGAGAAAGGCTAATATCCCCGATTGAACCTCTGATTTCCTCTCCCAAGAACAGTTCTGTCTCTGTGCATTCTATTGGCTTTCTTGGCGTAAGACAGGAATCTGAAGAAGACAATCAGGTGCCACTTGGCTTTCTCTTTTGGGCAGAAACTAATGATCAGACTGACTTTAGCAATAATGACCTGGGCCCAGAAGTTTTTCTTTGATGTCAGAATTTCAACTGGGGATTTTATGGGGTCAGATTTCCTGAGGTGTGGCTTCTAGAGGCAGACATTTATAGTAGTTAGAAACAGGAAAAGCATCAAGACCTATAGTCAACTACCCCTACTTTGTTGTTGCTTTCTACCAAGAAATCTACTTAATAAATGGAGGACAAATAAAGGCATACATGCTTGTTGGGGACCATCCAGTCAGCCTGGCAGAACTATTTAACTGCACATTACCCTCAAGGTCCTCTGTTTCTGTGACCACATTTATTTTTCAGGTTATATCCAGATTTGCTATTCTTATTTGTTGAAAGATCAAGATATTAAAGTATTAGCTATTTTTAAAAGAAATATTGACCTTTTGTCATAATCTGCTTTCATATCAGTGAGGACTACCCATAAATGGATAAAATGTGTAAGTGCATGAAACCAGCTGATTTCAAAAAAAGTACATATTTAAAAAGATGGCCAATTTCTCCTAGATATTGCAACTATGGGTAAGCCACTGGCCTAATCCATTCTCATTAAGAAAATGGAGGGGCCAGCCAGGTGGCACAGTGGTTAAGCTCGCATGCTCCACTTGGGCGGCCTGGGGTTCACGGGTTCAGATTCCCAAGCACAGACCTAGCACCACTCATCAAGCCATGCTGTGGTAACATCTCACACAAAATAGGGGAAGACTGGCACAGACATTAGCTCAGCGACAATCTTCCTCAAGCAAAAAGAGGAACCAGGCCTCCTCCTTCTTTATCCACTGCTTCTTACAGAAGGGTTGGGCTACTGTTATGACAATAAAGCCATCAAAACTTTTTTAACTGTCATCTTGAAGAATTTTAGGCTTTTGAGTTTAATGAAAGAGAAAACCTCAGAGAGGCCCATACAGGCTGTAGAAAGCATTCAATTAACACAAACTTTTTCCTAAACATTCTATTAGACTTAGTAACACAAAGGGGAAAATACAGAGTTTACTAATTTCTTCTTTATTGGGGCCGAGTCAAAACAAGCAATGTCCGAAGTGTGGTGATATCAGAAAAGGCCAGTATGAGAGAGGAAGATCTCATATGCTGCATATACATATACAGCAATAACACTAATATTTAAGTATAGGAAAAACAGAAGAAACAAGATGTTCTTCAAAGTCACAGCATCATAGACTGGAATTACTCACGTCTTACACAGTTGTTAGATTTTGACTTGCTTGTAAGTTCAAACCCTCATACTGAAAAATATTCTTGAATGGTTGTAGGTCACTGCACCAACCCAAGGAACATACGTTATAGCTTCTGTGAATGAGGCTCCCTGGAATTGTGCAATACCCAACGTGGATGGCCTTACCCAGAGACCTTGTCCTTGAAGACCCCTTCATAAAATACAGCATACCTAAGCTTGCAGGTAGATAGCCCTGAATGTATATATAAAGATATAATACAATCAGTAATATATACTATTTAACATAGAATGCATTTGCAAGATATAATCTTAGAGTATTTACTATTTTTCCATCTTTCTCTCTTTTAGGGCGTATAGTAAAATGTGCATAAGTTAAGTGAACACATGATCTATTTCCACTGTAGCTCTCCTTACAAAGGTGGGAGATAAAATGATGCTGCTAGCCTTCCATACAGCATCAACTGATATTAAACTGTTAAGCAAATTCTCATATTTCTCTTTATAAGCAATCAGCTATAAATATGGAGCAGTGGCAAGGCCAAGAAATAAATAAATGAAAGGCAAATACTCTTATACATATATCATTTTGGAGAGAAACAAACAATGCTGATTATTCTTGGTTCCCTTCCACAGACATTTCCCTCCAGCCCTTTAAGATATTTGAGTGAAGTTAAACAGTCTTGCAAAGAGGCATGAATAACAGACTAGTGAAAAGACCACCTCTTCCGCAAGCATTGTGTGGTCACAGTTTGAATTCTGGTGAGCCTTCAGAATTCCTCTTGTGAATAGAAATGTCATAACTCTTTGCAAGGCCATGTCGGGGGATGAGGGTCTGGTCTTTACCTGTAAAGCTACTGCTCATTTCAGGAACGTCATCCTCCTCCTCATTCTCCGCAGGGACTATGCCAGCATTTTGCATATCATTGTAGGACTTGGTTCGCTTTGGGGTGGACTGCTTGGAGCCAGACTGAAGGCTTTGCAAGGCATCCGTCGTGATCACTTTCCCACTGACTGGCTGGCTAGGAGGTTTGGGTGTCCCATAATAGTTTCCTAGGTGATGGAGAGACACATTTGCATGTTTCAGAAAGAATACTTTGTTTTTTTCAAGTCTTCACATCCAAATCTCTCAGCACATTAAAAACAAAATCTAAACTGGAAAGCCAGAACAAACTGTATTTTACTTCTGGAATGGGCTAGAAAAGATGGCATTCCTACCCAGCTAGACATGGTGATTTCAGAAGCAAGGAGGAAAGCTGCATTGTTTTGGTTCAAAGAACCTACTAGAGCTAAAAACAAAGGCTGCTGTGCTGAATAGCAAAACTTCATCCTCGTTATATTTGAATTTCAATTGGTCACCTTTTTACAAATATGCACCAGCATAATGCTGAATCCAATTTAGAGTGAGTCTCATACAAAACAAAAAAATTAATTATTGCTGGCACCCTTACAGGCCCACAAAGTTGAGGTCACCTTCCTTTAATAAGGGGACTCCTCAACAGCGTACCAGGGCAATATTTAAGAAGGAGAACAGTGAACACCACGTGGCGCCTCTTTAAGTGAATGGCAGGCTTGACTCTCAGGGTCATGCGGGGTGGCAACAAACGTTTGCCAAGTTTTAACAGAAAACTCTGTGTTAACAGTGGCATGGTACCCCTTATGAGTAACCCTGTTAGTAATTACTCATGTTCACTTTCAGCCACTTTTTCCCAAAGTTTGGCTCAGGTCTGATGATAGTATGCTAAGTGACTCTGAGCAGTACCTGGATGGATTTTTACATTTTAATTTTTTATTTTAATTAGTGCATATATATTTTAAATGCACTAGAAAAACATAACTAGTAAGTTATGGTAGTAATATAAAGTCAATTTCAAAAAATTAAGTGAGGACCAAACCGGTGCATAGTGGTTGAGTTCACATGCTCCATTATGGCAGCCCAGGGTTCACGGGTTTGGATCCTGGGCATGGACCTACACACCACTCACCAAGCCATGCTGTGGCGGCAACCCACATACAAAATAGAGGAAGATGGCACAGATGTTAGCTCAGCGACAATCTTCCTCAACCAAAAGAGGAGGATTGGCAACAGATGTTAGCTCAGGGACAATCTTCCTCACACACACACACACACACACACAATTTAGTGAAAAAGCAATATTTTTTAAATTGACTTTTCTTTTTAATCTTAAAGTTTTGTTAAAAAAGAAATAACAGGCCCAAAATGGAGTCACTTGGGCTAAGCCCCAGGACAGCAAAACCAAGACTTAATATCTAACCTAACTGCAGTTTCATCCTCTCCTAGGATTATGACCTTTAACCAGTCAATCTGAAATTACATGACCAGCGCTAGCAAGGTCATGTACATGACAGACCCCTGCCCTTCCCCTAAAGGAAGGTGCCCTTGCCTGAAACAATACTTTCTTTTTTTTATGACTTCCTTGTCCCATACTCTTTTCGCCTTTAAAATTCTTCCATTTTGTACAGCTCCTTGGAGCTCCTTTCTGTTTGCTGGATGGGATGCTGCTCAGTTCATGAATCACTGACTGAAGCCAGTTAGATCTTCAAACTTACTCAATTGACTCTGTTTTTTAACAGATTAAAAGGCAGCTACATATGAAAGACTAATCAACTGAATAAATCACAGCAATGGTAGTGATGAGTTTCCTTTTGAAAACAAGTTAAAAAGCAAGTTAGTTTACAGAAAACTTCAAGCAAATAATAGACTTTACATTCAGATATGGAAAAAAATCATGAAGGTGATTCATGAATGACCAAAGTTTGAAAAATACAGCTTATAATCAATAATATTCACTGACTACATGATAAAAAAATCAATATTAGAATGCTATTGATCCATTTCACCATTTCACATCTTTAAGAATAAGCCCAGAAAGATAAATCATACTGAGCCCTTCAATAAATCCTAAGCAACGTGCGCACTTCTATGTCTAATACAGTAGAATTTGTAAATACTAAGTCCTCTACATACTGTTTTTTCCCAAGGCTCTCATCCCATTGGCTAACCTCAGCTTACAATTACATAAAACACACATTTTACGATACAAGCACACAAGTGAAAAGGAGACAGTAAGGTGCTGCTCTGCATGAGACACAGAGGTGATGAATTTGTTTCTGTCAGCCTTTATCTTTATAAATAAAATTTTGTATTAATACTATTTCTTTTAAGATACTTTCTTGAGTCACCAAAATTATGAACGTACACACCCACTTTCTTTGAGAGTGATGTAACTGTGTGTGTCATCAGTGGAACTCTAAACACACAAATTAAGAGGAGCAGCAGACTGGGACCAGCCCGGTAGTGTAGTGGTTAAGTTCACACACTCTGCTTCGGCGGCCTGGGGTTTGTCGGTTCAGGTCCCAGGCACAGACCTACACACCACTTGTCAAGCCACGCTGTGGTGGCATCCCACATACAAAATAGAGGAAGATTGGCACAGATGTTAGCTCAGTGACAATATTCCTCAAGCAAAAATAAAAAGAGGAAGACTGGCAATGGGTGTTAGCTCAGGGCTGATCTTCCTCACAAAAAAAAAAAAGAAGAGTAGCAGACTAAAGGGGACTGTGTTTGAAGGTGAAGGACACTAGACAGAAATCCGAGAAGAACATTCTGGTGGCTGGTACTCAACTCAATCATTACAATTCTTTCGCAGAAGGTGATATATCAATCTCTTCAAAAAACTTCTATCAGGTTTCCCACTTAACGGTACAAGAACTGAGCAGAACCAGCCAGAAGAAGGCATACCATGTGTGTTTAAAGGGGCCAATTTATGTGCAAGGAAGAATTAGTACACATATGAACCAAGATTCATCTTGCCTTTCCACAAAGGTTACCTTAAAGGATGTCCATGCATTCACTGAAGTTGAGACTAGGCTACCTATTGACTTGTTCATTGAGTGAAGGCTATTAGCAAAGTTTAGGAAGGTAAAACAGCTAACAATTTAAAAAATAATCTTCACAGTGAACAAAAAATAGAAACAAAGCTCTACTGAATTTAATTTTAATTCCTTCTGTTCACTATTATTCCGAAACATCATGTACATTTTGAGTTAGAAGTTACACTAAGACCAACGTCTACAAATAATAATCTTCCACTGAAAGATGTGACTAAAGCATGGGATCCTTTACTCAGAATTTTATAATTTTACAATCGTATCACTCATTTTCAGGGCCACTGAACCAAAATTCATAAAACCACTGTCATTTAAAAATCAATTAGAACTTAAACATCCTCAGTTTATGAAAGAAATAAACGTCTGAAAAATAAAAGCTATGCCTAAATTTGACAAACGTGTGTGGATTTTCCTCAGTTTTCAAGTTCACAGTCTTTCTTAAGTTAATAAATGATGAGATTTCTCAATGCAACTACAAACTCCCCTAAAAAAGAATCCACTTATTCATTCTTGTTGCTGTTTCCGGAAATTAGTTTAAGATTGATTGGAGACAGATACAACACATACATCAGGTTGAAGCATATGTAATTGCTGTTGTGGAAGACAAGCTGTTGAATATCAGCAGCTTCATCTGGGTTAATCTAACGTGGAGGCATTAGCAGCACTCAGCACCCCGCAGTGGTAGACAGCCCAGGGTTCAAATCCCAGCTTTACCGCTAATTGGTTTGCGACCTTGGGCAAGTCATTTAGCCATTTTTTAAAGTCTTTGTCCTCTTCTGTGAAATCGGGATTCTAGGAGTACCTAGTTTCTACCCAGAGTATCTGTCACGAGGATAAAATGAGACGGTCCATTTAAAGTCTTTAGCCCATGCTAAAGTCTGCCACTACAGCGAGGCTTGATAAATGTTACTTAACGTTGATAGTGTATGTTTCTAATCTTCAAAACCAGGCTCATTACACCTTGTTGGGAGGATTAATGAGAGAATGTGTCTGAAGTGCTTGCCAAGTGGTAACCGAGTGCTATTCCTTTAAAGGAACAGCAAGCACACCTGCCAAAGACCAAATAACCTTGGACAAGTTTCTGACACTCAGGCCAATTATTTTCTCTGTGAAATGGGAATGGTAGCACCAGCCCTAGCGACCTCACGGGATTATCGCGAAGATCAAATTACACAACTTTCTTAAAGGTACCCTGTAAACTATGAGGTGCTGTAAATATGAGACAGTGTTATTATTCAAATCTCTCCAGCATTTCTTATTTCCCATACTGCCTACAACCTTCACAGAAAAGCTTCTACTTAGTGGTCTTCTAACTGCAGAGGGTTCAACTTTCCTTTGCAGATATGGGGTTTTTTTTTCACATATTTAAAAAATTAACTTGAATGAGTGACCAACATTTAAAGACTGAATGTTTCCGATTAAAATCTGGATATACTGGGAAGGGCTGCTTGACAAACCGTAATGTCTGGTTCCTTGGATTCTGTCCCTTACAGGCAAGGTCGATGACAAGTATGGGACCAAAGACAATTCACCAGGAAGACACTCACTGAATTAACTCTTTCTGCAGAGAAGTTTTTGCTCCTACCCTTGGTCTGCCCCAGCCCTTGTGAGACCAACACGTTGGCCTCAAACTAGGAGAGTGCTGTGAGGTTGTTGCAATGCAAAAGCATGGGCAGATAAAGCGGCATGGACACAGTGAAGGATCTAAGAAAACCTAAAACTTCAAACAATCCTTAAAAACTCACAGATTGGTCTTTGAGTAAATTGATTTGGGGTGAAACTGGTTTTGGTCCCTGAGCTTTTGGCCGCTGGGCTTATGCTGTGATCCCATGTTGTCTTTACCACGCAACAATGGGCAAGATGGGTCTTGCACTCCCCCGTCTGCCACAGTGACCCCGGATCTCCACTGCCTCTGCCCACTCTATTCACTCCCTCACTCCACCTGGCCCCCCAGGCACGTGAGGGCATGACTCCTGCCTTCCGAAAACTCTCCACCTTATCAATAGTTTCCACTCTGGTCATAATCAGGCAAGCCTAGCCATGGCAGAAACACAAACCTTACAGAGAGTATGCAGAAGAGAAACGGATCATTTAATGGTATTAAATAAAAATCATTTGAAGAATTATAAATGATTAAAAAA